TTTTTTTTTTTTTTTTTTTTTTTTTTTTTTTTACTAATATAAGTTTTAACTTGTTGGTCTTGACATTAGGTCCAGATTTATTTCAGATTTATTTGAAATCCAAAATGTGAAAATACAAAGTTTGACTTTATTACTTTATACAAGTAGTTTTGTCTTTCTTCCCTGGCTTCCAATACAGTCTTTCAGAATTTCCTGTAGCTTCATTTATTACCCAAATAAATTATGAAACAGGAAACACACAGACTTGAGAACCAGAGCGAGCACAACGGAAGAATTTGGCAGAAAACAGAGAAAAACAGAGAACTTAAAACTGTGTCGGTGTGATTGAAACGTGGTCATCATGCAGTTATTACAATCATAGGGTCATTTTGAAGGTAGTTGTTTGAGATAACGCCCCCTGCTGTTTTGTTGCTGTAAACCCAGACACAAGTTGTCTGATGTAAATATGCCAATCTTTAACACAGACAGATTTGACAAAGGGTATGTTTAAAAAGCATGGCCACAAAAGAAATTACAAAAAAAAATGTGTTTTAATTTTTTAAGATGCAATGTCATAATTCAGAAAATCATGATTGCACTTTGAAAATGACACTATAAACAGTAAGAGATGATCCCTGTTTGTCCCACAGCCTGCAGGATGGGCTACTACAAACCCACCAAAGGGGGAGGACAATGCCAACTGTGCCCACCAAACACCAGGACCCTCAGGGAGGGGTCAGAGAGCTGTGAGTGCCTGCAGGGATTCAGCCGCCTGACCTCTGACCCCCATGACCTTGGCTGCAGTAGTAAGGAAACAGTTATTTGCTGCTTGTAATCATGAGTTTTAAACATGTTTATGTGGATTCAGGTGTGACATGATAGAAAGGTGAAAGGTCACCATCCATATAGAAATGGGCACAAGTTATGATACTGAAGAACAGCAGATACAGACCCATCATTCTTATGTATAAGTTTTGAGGAAGTTTGTTCATAGACGTCATTGGTTCTGATATGTCTTTATGGTCTTTATGTCTTTATTTATGTTCATATTTCATAAAGCCACTGCTTTCTGCTTCATGTGGTTTTGTCTCCATCAGACTAAGAGCTGTTCACATTTACTCAGATGGAGAGCATCGCTAAACATTAGCTTTTAGGTTTGCCACTGGCTTTTCAATAGGTTTATGTTTGGACTTTGACTGGGTCACTCTAACAAAGACCGTTCTGTTGAGGCTCTGGCTGCATGTACAGTCTCCAGTCTGCTGTATAGATCCACCTGGATTCACCTCCATTCTCCAAAAACGAGTAGATCTGTGTTCTGTAAACCATTAGTCATCCAGTCAACAGATTCTCCTAGCTGTGCTGTATTCTGTCTGTCTGTGGATGATGGATGGGACAGTTCTCCATAGGATGTTCAAAGTTGGGATATTGTTTTATAATAAACGCACAATTTTCAGGTTTGTGTTTGTACAAAAAGCCATTTGTTCTTTCCAGCAATGTGCTGGTTTATTTACCACATAATAAAACCTGCTTTGGTTTATGGTTGTAACATGACAATGTGAAAAAGTATGAAAGGCGTAAGGTAGACTGGGATATAATTAAAAACAACTCTGAAGTTGAACAGAGTATGACATGCTCTGGATATAAATAGGTAAAGGAAATAAAATGGTTGAAATAAGCAAATATTAAATAAGAAATCAGCCATACTCTGTTGACCTGGATGAATCTGTGGTTCGAGGCTTTTACTCCGACTGTTTGAAACAGACTGCTGCTGGAGAACTGAAACTGAAGATAGTGAAGTTATTGCTTCAGTTTCTTCCACATGAATTACAGCAAACCATATTTCTGCAATATGTAAATATTTAGTGAATAGTAATGAAATGTAATGAAAAAATACAAATCACACCCTTAGTCAAAAATTTATTTTTGCAACTTTTGCTCTCCACAAAGGTGTAGCGATGCTGTGCAAAAGGATGATAGAAGGTGTGTGTGTGTGTGTGTGTGTGTGTGTGTGTGTGTGTGTTTTCTTCCACAGAGCCACCCTCTGCTCCTCTGAATCTAACAGCCAATCCTGTTAATGACTCGGTGCTGGTCCTGACATGGGATGGGCCCCACGACCGGGGAGGCAGGACAGACATAAAATACCAAGTAAAGTGTGAAAAGGCAGCAGAGATGGGCAGTCGGTGGGAGCCATGTGGGAACCAGGTGCTTTTCCTGCCAGACTCTGATGGACTGAACGACACATCGGTCACCATCCTGGGACTGAACCACCAGCGTGACTACAGACTGTCAGTGCAGGCCTGGAATCACATCTCCTCTCTGCAGCCAGCATCACATTCATCCACTGCTACTGTCACCATGCACAGATGTAAGTCAGCCTGCTGAGAGACTGCACCATCAGCCTGTGTTTGATGGGTTAGCTTCAATGAACCAGACTTTAAAAATGCTTCATAATACTGCATATCTACTACTTCTGTTGCAAAGGTAAGGTAAGGTAATTTTATTTATATTGCATATTTTCAGCTACAAGGCAATTCAAAGTGCTTTACATGATTAGATGGAAATACAAACAAAACAATAAACCAAAGGAAAGAGCAAAAGAAGAAAAAGGAAGGCATGAAACTAAATGTTGGTTCTCCAAGTTTGATGCTATGTATGATGGTGCTAAATGTTGATCTAAAGTTTTTAAACTGTTCCTGTTCTGAAAATATTTTCTGAGCATTTTAAGTTTGTTCTAATTCCTGTTCTGGGTTGTAAGATAATTATAAGTACTTTATTTATGAGCTGCAAGGAGTTTCTGTAGAAAAACTAATGGGAGCTGCTCTGCATGATAATCTAAAAAGTATAATATTGGTCTAAATAGTGAGTGCTCCACAATTTCCAAAAGTAAAAAGCTAAGCCTTAACCTCACACTGTGAGTTACCAAATTCCACATTTCAGCATATTCATAGGGTAAATAGTCATGTATTTACTGCGTCTGCAGGCTCAGTAAATACATCCCACTCACTGGGCAGCAGTTTGGGGCGTCGCTCCCATCAGAATGCCTGACCCGCCTCCTGTTGTTCTCCTTCAGGGAGGACTGTGGTAATCACTGGGGCTCCTGCGTCAGACGGCTCAGCTGGTGGAGCCGCTCCGACTCCGACTCCGACGCTGACTCTGACTCCGGCTCCGATTCCGGCTCCAGCCCACAAGTCACCCCTGTTCCGCTCCACATGGCTCACAGTTGTGGTTTTACTCAGCACTGTGTTGCTGACAGCTGTGATCTTTGTCACCATGTACTTCTTACGCAAAAACTACACTAAGCTCAGGTAACGGTAGACTTCCAACTGACTCTTTTACTCAATCTGATAATAACTACATTCCAGATAAATGTCCATATTTGGTGTTATTTATTTAAAATAAGTGCAGTTTGAGTCAATTAAAAACATTTATCCCAATTTATGTATTGTTTAAATCAAAGTTTGTAAATCAATGCAGTCTGTTTAATGTATCAGGATTTATGAAATAACATTTAGATGTTTAAAAGTTGCAGCTGAGTTAATGTCTCTGTCCTCTGATCAATGAGAAGTGATAACATTATGTTTCATGCTCTCATACAGTGCAGAACTGATAATGATTGTGCTGATCCCACTCCGCCCCTCCAGGTCAGAACCGGATCATGAATTGCAGCTTCTCCCAGGGAACGCTCACATCTCCTACCAACCTCCACACATTACAGAGACCGGAGCTCAGCTGCCTCACAGTGAGTGTTTAGTTGTCTGAGCTCTGGGTCAGTCATGATTTTAACTTAGCTTACCGAACTAAAGTTTATTCTAACTTTCCTAAAGCTGCTTTTATTTTCATGCTTTTCTACATTTTGCCAAAGAATTGATTTGAAGGAGAACTGGGTCTCTTTGGCACTTATTTACTAACATAAATAACAGAAATACTCACATTTTAATCACATTCAAAACTAAAACTGAAGCAAACAAGAAAATTGTTCATCTGAGACATGATGAACAGAAAGGTGCATCAAAGAACTTTGTGATACAGTCAATGTTCTTTCAGTGACCTGTGCAGAGTGAAGTCCATATCTGAAAACTATCATAAGAGGAATTTCTTTATGCGATGACCAAGAGTTTGCTAAGAAATGTCTAAAGTTACATTTTTTCTTTTTAAATGAGGGTTTTTGTTGTGTTTCAGATCAGCAGGGAGTGGCCCAGCTGCTGGAGGGGCTTAGTGGACGTTTGTGGGACAGTCTGAAGGACGTCTTGGTGGAAAGAAACCAACTGACCCTGGGCAAGGAGCTGGGCAAAGGTCAGACCAGAACAATAGTTCCTGCAATCTGCTTACATGAACAAGACATGAACAAGACTCTGTAGTAAATGAAGGTGACAGGATGTTTGTTCCTAAGTAGCATCTGCTTCCACTTACAGGAGAGTTTGGGTCGGTCTATGAGGGGATCTTCACGGCGCAGGCTGGTGCTGACATCAGAGTGGCTGTGAAAACCATGAGAGGTTTGGAGCCAACATAGAAGCTTCATCAGACGTCTGCTTGACCAGCCCTCCTTTCTCATCATTTTCTCTGGTTGCAGTTGGAATCCACAGCCAGAGGGACTTGGAGGAGTTTTTGAAAGAGGCTGAGATAATGAAGAACTTTGATCATGAAAACGTTGTCAGGCTGCTTGGTAAGAGAAAACACAGAGGAATGATTAGAACTGAGCCCAAACTCCTTCCAGCTTCTCCGGTCCCCTCAGCCAAAGGAGTCACATGAAACATACTCCATACACATAATTGTTAATCTGGTTGGATTTGGGGGAGGGATTGAGTACTGTGGGTTTTTAAAATCAGTTGCTGTAGTTTATAAGCAGAAGCAGACGTGTGTTTTTCCTGCAGGTGTCACTCTAAAGAAGGAGGAGGATTCTGCTGTTCCTGTTCCTCTGGTCATCCTGCCTTATATGAAACACAGAGACCTGCGGCGCTTTCTCATTGCTACACGCTACGGGGACATTCCAATGGTGAGGTGCTGTTAAGAATACACACACACACACACACACACAGTAATGTGTACATACATTGCTTAAAAAAGGAACTCACCTCCTTGGTGAGTGATTGTGTTTTTTTATGGCTTTTACAAATCAATCATGAGCAACATAATCAGTAAAGTGTCAATAGAACCTATTTAATGTCAAACTAAAAACTGATTTTACACAATAATGACAAATAAAATAATGTACCATAAGATGAGTGATTTGATAAATACTGCCCCCTTCAGTCAGTATTCAGTAGCTGCTCCTCTGGCTGCAGTCAGTCAGTCAGTGTGGATTTCAGTCAGAATGCTCAGCTGGACTTTTCCTCCATTATTCCAGATAAACTCTTCCAGTTCTATCAGGCTGGGGGGATCAGATGTGAACAGCTATTTTTGAGTCCAGCCACTCAGTCTGAGCTATGGGCATTGACTGGGCCACTTTCTTGTCTTCACACCATCTCTGCGTAGCTTTAGCTGGATGCTTCGGCTCGTTGTCTTGCTGGAAAGTAAATGTTCTCTGAAGCTGCAGTTCTCCTACAAATGGAAACAAATTGTCCTCCAGGATTTCCTCCTGATATTTTACTTAGTTTTATTTCTTGAAATTAGTGGAGTGGAAAAAGAAAAAAATAGAACATTTTACGATGTTCTACTTTTTTGCAATGGTCTATACTGCGCCTATACAGCCAAATTGATTCAAGATCATTTTGATCCAATCAAAATGTTTTTTGTTGTTTTTTTTTCTGAAGGAAGTGAGACAGACATGACCCAAAAGATGATAAAAAAATCTTAAAGTTTTTTGTCTTTTTTTTTTTTTTTAAACAAGTACAACGCCATTTAATAACCTGTTTGTTGGGGGTGGGAGGGTGTTGGATACTTTTCCATAATAAATAGAGAACTATTTATTGGCATTAAACAGTCAAACTCTTCTGATTGTTGCTGAACAGCTTTTGGAGTGTTTTCACTGGTATTCAGTTCACATTTTGAGGTTATAAGTCTAGGGGCCTATTATGACATAAATGTCATAATAGGCACCAGTGTTGTAATACTCGAGATCGGTCTTGGTCTCGAGACCGGTCTCGAGACCATTTTTTGATGGTCTCGGTCTTGTCTTGGTCTCGGGCGCTGAGGACATGGCATTTTATTTCAAGACCAGTCGAGACCGCAACTGTGAAAATATCACAAAACATACAGCATACTGTCCAGTTTATTTGTTAACATATTTGCTTTCAGTGGATGCAAAACGCACCGATTAAATCGAAGCAATTACGTGTTTCTGTTTCTCCCCCTCCCACTCCCCACCTTTCACTCGCACGCGGCGTTCTGAGACATGCGCAGTGGTTTTCTCTCAGCAGCTGAAGATGTCGGTCTAATCGTCAGTAATATAATAGCGCTGCATAAATCATAAGAAATCTGATGGCCACAGTTAACTCAGCAGCACTTCGCTTTCACAGACGGTGGGGACAACGTCTAACTTTTTTCGTCACTTAGAAAAGTAGCTCAGAAAAGGTAGGCTCCGTTAGCGTGATGTTAGCAAAGCTAGCTGTACAGAGACACATAAGCATTGTGATGAAAAATGTTATCACTCACTGTGCTGAATTATTGTGCGGAGGTGTTGACTGACTTGTCGCATATGTGGGACAACACTATGTCCAAAAGTCTGCAATATAGTGAGGTGACATTCAGAAACAGTCAGTTCTTCTCCACGGCTCTTTACTTATTAGATAGGACTGGAGTGTCACTCACTGAGAGCCGTTCTATCAGATTACCACCATACGCTGTCAGAATAGCATACATGCAGTGAGTACCATGCCTGCGGATGCACATTAAGAAGTCCGACAGTCAGAGGAGTTGTCACTTCACCATACGCAACAAGTTATGACGAAAATAAGTCATTAAATTGTTTTCAATGATGACTATATAGATATACATGTGTTGTCATGGTTTCAAAGTGTATTTAAAGCAGGGTCTGGCTGCAGCTGGAGTCAGCTACAACACACACCTGTGTAAAACTCACTTAACCGCTAAGTCAGGATGCCATACAACTGTTAATAACAAAGTGTATGACGATCTAAGTCATGATTCTATATTGCTGATTAAATGAAATCTTATGGTAATGACGTGTCTGACAGATATAGCCGTTGTTCTATCAGATAGCCATACGCTGTCAGAACAGCATACATGCAGTGAGTACCATGCCTGCGCATGCGCATTAAGAAGTCCGACAGTCAGAGGAGTTGTCAGTTCACCATATGCAACAAGTTATGACAAAAATAAGTCATTAAATTGTTTTCCATGATAACTATATAGATATACATGCGATGTCGTTTTCTCAAATTGTATTTAAAGCAGGGTCTGGCTGCAGCTGTAGGTTAATGAGTTTTACACACCCTGTAAAACTCATTAACCTACTTAACCACTAAGTCAGGATGCCATACAACTGTTAATAAAGTGTATGATGATCTACGTCATAATTCTAT